AATTAAAATAGCTTTCATTTTTTTCTTCTAAATGGAGTAATCTACCTTACCATTGAATTACAACAATTCAACTCAAGAGGCCATGATAGCAAAACATTGTTTTTCAAAAACAAAAAGTTTTACTCAAACAATTTACCTATATACAAATGCAAACTCAAACCAATTTATGTACAAACTGCTTTTCAATATGACACAAGCGATGATATCACAACAAGTAACACAGATCACAAAAAATAATCATAATTAACGAATTGTAAATTCAAGAGAGGGTATAGAATGCGTAAACTAAGCTAACCAATTTGTTTGTTCATATTTTAACGAGAGATACAAGTTTTTATTGATCTAAGGCCACCACTGACTAGCCTTAGTCGTCCAATAGCTGCTGCAACCACAAGAAATACCATTGAGCCACCAAAAAAAAGTTTCTTCATCTTTCCTTTTTTTTTTTCCAAGGCTATATTTGCTTCCACAGTGCATTAAATTGGAATCTAACAATGCTAAAAGGTCAAAAATTGCTCAATAAACAATCTTTCTTTTTTACCTCCATTGAATTCTGTCATACATGCCTTGTTGGAGTTCTACGTGTGGATTTTATGTGCCATCACATGCACAAGGTTAGTGGTTTTACCAAAAAATGGATCTGAAGGTTCAAGTAACCTTGTTTTCGAACAAAATCGAACCCTTTCGACTTCCAATCAAATTTTCATGTTGTTTTAATACTTTTCATCACTAGCCTAAGCTCTGATACCATTTATGGAGTTTATAATGTAGAGTAAAATGATTATTACAACTACAATGCAGAAACATAAACGCCCAATTGTAAAAAACCTAAGCCAACCGACTCAAATCTTCTTCAACCTCACCACTAATGTGTCTTCAGACTTGTGCCATACTGAATTCAATGCACCATCGTCTACAGGAATGACAATGGATATATCGAGATAACTATCAGAGGCAACCAATAATATTACCGAAAAATGAACTCTCCCACTTAGTTCCTCTCTATATATTTCTTCAAATTCATATATTGTACTATGAAAGGGACATTGGATTTATTCTATGGTCCATAATATACATTAACTAGCATAATCATTTCCAAAAGGCCAATAATCATGTGCCAAGTGGATTTAAAATGATCTACCTCACATTTGTTCTTTTACTATTTGTTTCCGTTGTTTTAGTTTTCTTCTATGTTCTTTAAATGTATACCTCATTGTGTGGTAGTGCAATAATTGTATGACGTTAAGTTGTTTTTGAACGGTTCCCTGTTTTCCCAGTAGAACCTACTAACCCGGTTCGCCTCTTATGATATTGCAAAATATTAAATGAATGATGTTACGAAAAAATAAAACCAATCTATTAAAGTTTTATAATAACTTGCACTTGCACCTTCCATGGCAAGATGCAATTCTTACTAGATCCAAAGTGATACTGAACTCCAATATCAAGAAGATTTCCTTAAGTTAACGCACATTATTGAAGTTATCGATAACCAAATAACTCTTGGAAATATTCCAGTTGTTAATCCACACATTCAATAAAACCCACAATTTCAAATTACAAAATGATTTATTGTTAGAACTTGGGTGTGACCCGAATTCTTTGTTGAAGATAACTGAGAGTTTTAATTGAAGTGTACATCAAGAGGAATTTTATTTGGAATACTTTTGGAATCATATTCAAAGTCTATTTGGCAAATTCTAGTTAAAATTCTATTTGGAAGCCATATTGAAAGTTGAAATTTGTGTTGGACTTAAAGAGATCAAGATAAAAAAATTTGTAGACATTCTATTTCATCTACAACTCTACTTTTAGGGCTTGAATTATTCCCTATACATAGTTGGCTTTTCATTATAATTTAGTAAGAAGTTAGAAACATTATAAACACATAATCTTTGTATTCTTTCTCCATATTATAATAAAATCTCAATATCTTAGATCGTTCTTGTGATCAATTATTTCATATTTTGGTTTAATATCTTATTTTCTCCAACAAAATGGTAGATTAATCTGATATCATCTTCCGCTTTTCACATATACCAAAGATAGGCGATCGATATGTGATGCCGTAGCTTCTGTGGACATCTCGGTTCCTAGGCATGCACCTAAAAACTGCACATCTTATGTTGTTCCATGACAAACAACTGGATATTGTTTCAAAGTCTTATCCAAATATTTATATCTATCATACAGAGAGTGGAGTTCTTGATAAATATATCTTCTAAAGAAATTTTACTACTTGTACAAATGGATGGATACAGTACCTGGATATGTAATCTGTGACAATCATACAGCTGTAGCTCGGGCTTGGGCTCGTGTAGTGCATGCAAAGATTGTGATACTAATTATCTTGTGATGGTGTCTTGTACTCGAATTCTTCTTGTATTTATACGTGATGTAGTTGACCAAGGATATTACCGTTTTTAGATACAAACAACCTTCTGCCAAACATGTTTAATAAGTATAAATTAATTAAAAATAATTTTTATCAACTTTTAAGCTTAGCCAAGCATGTATGAATCTGATTTGCTTATTTGTGAAATTCTAATCTTATAATTTTCTCAAAGATAATTAATAATTTATTAAAGCGACAAAGGCTATTCTGTAAACTTAAGGTTGTCGTGAAGATGAAGTGTCCTTTGTTCATGAGATTCCCTGAAGCTGTGATGATGTTAAGTGAGAATTTATAGAGGCCGCCTCTGGGGTTTTTACTTTTGCTCATATTTCCTTGTTTATTTTTGGACCAAAAGTTCTAAAGAAACTTCATTTTGCTCCCCATTACTTTTTATGTGACAAACTTGGTGGAATTAGTAAATAAGTGACAACAATGAAAAACTTTGATATTGCTATATATAATTTAATTAAGTACTCCTCGTGTTTAGCATTTTAATATTCTTAACTTGTGACGTGTGCATAAAGTTGTTCAAAATAGCTGCTTTGCGTTGCATACATATTAGGATTTATACGTGAAAATACAATATATTATTACATTAAATTTATGAGTTATTTCATCTCCTTATAAGTACCACATAAAGAGGTGAAAAAAAGAGATAGTCAGGTTGTTATTGACAAACATGAAAATCTCTCAAAACTTCAACTTATTTTTCTTTATTAACAACGTCACATAGTTGGTACAAAAACATACTTTTTATATGGAAAAACATTATTATATGTGTTTGTATAAGTCAGGTCAATATAACTCGAATCCCCTAAGGAAAGCGAGATCACCGCACCTCAATTTAATTTGTTACACGTTATTTCTCTAGTTCATTATTTTTTTTTTGTTATCTTATTGTGTTTTTCTGGACAAATTGAAGGAAGATCCAACCATGTTATTCTGTGGAATGTTGTTACTAATGTTATGTTTGGTATACAATATTGAATAAGATTATATAATAATAGACAATATTATAATTTTTTCTTTTTAATAATCTATAACACAATTTACTACACCTTACTAAACATGTCTCAATTGAGTCGTTGATAATAACATTCATGCACTTGATAAATGAAAATTGCATTCTTTTAGATCCCAAATTTCAATGCGTGTTTGTTGGGTTTCATAATTCTTCGTGTTTAGCATGTTACTATTCTAAACTTGTGATAGTGAAAAGATTGTTCCTAGCACAATTCTAGGCTTTGTTAAAGTTGTTTTATCATAGATACTTGCTACACACAACTCTATGATTGGCATACTTTTACATTGTACTTATGAACTGTTTGGTCTACTTGTTTTTAACTCGTAAATTACCCACGAAAAAGAGAAGAACAGAGGAGACCATAACAAAATTTATATAAATAATATGTATTTTGCACTATTAAACTCGAATGCATATGATAATAATCAAGATTTCAACTTCCTTTTTTTCCTTTAATTTTATTTAATATTATTTATTTTACCTTCTTATCTTAAATATGTAAAAGAATATATAATATGATGTCAATCATAATGAAAACAAGATTTATTATCAAATTGTTAAATAGTAAAATTAAAATGAATTTGAAGGAGAGATCTTTTGGAACGTGTACGTACCTGTGACATAACTTGGTTTAACGTATACACCTAAATATTTTTGCTTGTTCAAGTCTAACTTTAATATTGTAGTAAAGCACCTCAAGAAATTAAGTTTATAATTCTTTTAAACAATATGTGTAATGCAACTAAAACTCAAAATGCTAACTTTTGTTCGAAGATTTTCCATTAGTAATTTTTTTCATGAAATCTATTTAGCTAGTTACCAAATTAATGTATCTTAGCCCTGTTCAGTACTCACTATATTACATTCAATTTTTTCCTCTCTTATTTTCAACCACACAATCTTCCATAAAATAATATTACACGTAAATCGAAAATTTTTCCTTCTTTTTTAACCACTCATTTAAAAAAAAATACTATTCCACCCATTTTCATTTTCAAAAAATGGGGGGCCAAACGAGGGGGTTTAAGCTCGTACACATAATACTATTTTGTAGTTTATGTTTTGTTTGCTTGTGGTCAAATTAAAAGCTTATTTGGGATGTGAAAATAATTTTTACAAGAAAATTAAAATTATGGGTCCTATAAAATACGTGATTGAAAATGCTTTTGAGAATAATAGTTTTCAAAAATAATTTTCCAAAAAAGCTCTAAAAGTATTGCTTGATGCTTGTAATCTTGCTCGACTTCTCAATGCATCTTAATCAAGTATAAAAATTTTTACTATTTGTTATTTTGTTTACACACTTAAAATGGAGAAGAGGAGAAAAAGAGGAAAAACAATAGAGAGAGAGAGAGAGAGAGAGAGAGAGTAATAACTTATATGGCTGGAAAGATAAAATTCTTTCTAAAATGCGTAATCATAACCATGTACTATTATTCTAGGCTTATAATTTACGGAAAATTATGTAGAAGTTTTCTAAAGTAATTCTACAAAAGTAAGTTTGTCTAAGATATTCCCTTCTTATGACAAGTATAAATACAAGAAAATGTTTCATATGTTATTGCAATGAAACAACATCTTTTTACTACTTGCTCAAACACTATTTTCCAAGTCACTTGTAAACATAAGATTGCTACTTATCCTCGAAGGTACCAAAAGGTACCCCCACTCCACCCCATCCCACCTGAGGGATTTTTTTTTTCTTTAATATGTTCTTGTTTGTTACATTCTTCTCTATCTTATATATTGTTTCAAATTACGTCTAATTGTTAATATATGCGCAATTTACAACTAATCATTATTGCATATTATCTAATTTTTTTGTTGCATTTAATAATCATAGGTCATTTCTCAAGAGAGAATTGGGTATAGAAATAAAGTTTTACAAAATTCTCGTCAATCTTGATTATTGTAATTCCCTATATGCAACAATTTTCCGCCAAAATTCTAATTTATTTGTATAAAACTCTTCAATATGTAATGGCCTACCGATGGTTGGGATGACGATAATTGGTAACAGGTTTGCAAGTTCATTTGTCATCAAAATCTTAACATGCATTAGTCCCTTGTTAGGATTGTCAGAATAACAATTGTCAGGTGCCTAAGGCCGATTCTTAAATTTTATAGGCTGTTTTATAATTTAAAAAAAAAAAAAAAACAATGCAATTGTAAATGGTATAGGCAATAATATTCTACAAGCAATCCACACATTTGGAAAATAGCAATCCATCATTTTAATATATTATAGCATTTCAATTGTCTTTTTAATCTCTTCTAACAAATAATTTATCAAGTTTGTAGCTAAAAAAATACAAACATGCTAGAAGTACAATACTTTGTACAACTTGGTTGACAACGTGCACAAGTGGCGGCCAACCAAGTTGTACAAAGTATTATACAAATAGAATAATTCAAAAAAATATCTCTTGTTCATCATGTTAGAATTTCTATCTTACTTCAACGATCTTCAAACATATGAGCCCAATACTTCAAAGTATAATCATATATAGTGTTTAATTTTTTTAGAATCAAATAAAAATTCAGAAATTTCATATCTTTTGAAATTATGCAAACCTTAAAAAAAAAAAAAAAAAAAAAAAAAAAAAAAAGAGGAGTATGGTCAACATAGGTAATATGTAATCAACTCTAAAAGATTCTTGAGTTGAATGTGTTATCTCCTAGTTGAAGTTTTTGTCCAAGTGCTTCTTTCTATTAATATTACGTTTTTCATGAAATGTTTATTCAACTTTCATTTATATAGCAATTTCTTTAGCGATAACCTTTTCAGATTCAAATACATTTTCTCAATATATTTCAAAAAATAAAAGTAAAAAAATACGTTCTTTTGAAAGACTAATAGCATACATATCCTCAATTTACAACTTTTTGCTTACTCTATTAATAACTGCTATATATATTGTACCAACTAATATTGTAATATAAGAACTCAAAATTTATAATGCCAAAAGATAATCTTTAGTATTTCTAAATGCTTTAAGGTCATCACAATTACCAAGTGTTCTAAAACAACTTTTAGTTATTACGCTTGAAATCTTATTAATTTAATCTAAGATATCTACATAATTAATATTTAAATATATCTGCAAATAAAGACTAAACTAACCGTTTATATTTTAATTAAATATTAATATGTTTGTTAATATGACAATTGAATTGACTTGATTGATTGCATTTGAACTTATTTTATTTGTAATTTTTTTATGAACTATATGCAATAATTTTTTTGGGGCCCTCATAAGAGCAAAAATTTAGACGATCGTCTACTCTGCCTATAGTTAGGGCCACCATTATACGTGCCTAGCTTGGAATGCTTGCAAAATTCTAGATGTATCCTCGTTCTAGTATATATATTTATTCAAATTTTTTTCTTAAAGCACATAACAGTTGACTAATGTAGGAATTGTTGGACAAAACTTTTGATGAAAATCTAAACAAATTGTAATTAAAATTAATAAAATATGGATTTAAAATTAAATTTTGATTAGTGGATAAAATTTTATCTGACAAATTGTTTATAATATGTGCTGACTCAAATTCAAGCTGACATCCAAGGAATGACAACAGTTGGCGCCACAGAAGATAACCGAAGTGCTGAAATCACTTGCACAAAATCACAAGAATCAAGCGTCATAATTAAAGATGACGAGTGGTTGATTTCTATAGAGAATTATCAGGTCGACGAAACAACAAAGAAACCCCTAATAGAAAGGGTTCCAGCACTGCTGCGTAATCGTAAATCATACAAAAATTGTATTAATCCTTCCGTAGTTTCGATAGGCCCTTATCATCATGGAAAGTCAGAGTACAAAGCATTCCAGAAGCTAAAAACTCCAATTGCGCAGAAATTGTGTCGTTTTAATGATATATCCGTCGAACGGCTATACGAAGAGGTGGCAAATGTAGGTAAAAGTGCCCGCGGATGCTATGAAAAAGGCTCGACGGAAGACTATGATGATGAATTGTTCAACAGAATGATGTTTCTTGATGCTTGCTTTGTGGTTCATTTTATGTCCATCGGACAAGTTCGTCGTGAGGAAAAAGATGTAACAGATGCACAACTGGAAAGGAGTTACTACATTGTATTGAAGGACTTGTTCTTGCTAGAGAATCAAATCCCTTTACTAGTACTAACAGCTTTGATGAAATCTGCCTTCAAAATGCCAAATGGAGGAGAAGATATTATTAAGGAATTCCTTGAGCTGTACACAGTAGTGTCACCGATGGGAAATTCACGATCTAATGCTGTAAAGAAAGTTGTCGCATATATGAAGAGACGCAGCTTTAAAAGTGATCAAGTACAAAAGAAACGGAAATTAGACTTCGTTACAAGCCCTCAACTTCTAGATCTAATGTGGCAACACCTCATCTACCCAGTTATGCATGACTTCGAAAACCTAGTAACATTTATCCGTGAATCAAAATCAAATTTCCGGGAATCAAATATCCAGGAATCGTATCGTTCAGTAACCGACCTCAAATCAGCAGGAATTAATTTCAAACCAAGTCAGAGTGGAAGTTTTACTGATGTAGAATTCATACCTCGCTATATTGTTGGTACTCTTAAAATCCTCCAATCAAGTTTGATCATTTAACAAAACCTTTGCTATTAAACTTGGCGGCTTATGAAATGTGTCCCCATGGCCCTTCTGAATTTCGCATTACGTCATACATCTGTCTAATGGATTCACTCATTGATCATGCTGATGATGTTAATGAGCTCAGGAAGAAGAGAATTCTTATCAACAAATTAGGCAGCGATGAACAATTGGCACAACTCTTTAACAAGATGGCTAAGGGTTTGGAACCTGATCCTCGTGCATATGCATATGCTAGGTTGAAGATTGATAAACATTGCAAGTATAAAGGACATATCTGGATGGCTGAATGGACTCACAAATATTTTAGCAGTCCTTGGGCTCTCTTGGCTTTTCTAGGTGCAATTCTCGCCCTTGCCCTTACTATGGCACAGACATATTTTGCTGCTTACCCACGCTAAACCTCAGAAGACAAGACTTCCTAAATCAATGTTCTCGAATAAGCTCTTCAGTGGCAGAAGTTCGCTCTTCTACTGTTTGTTTCCATTGTTTCGGTTTTGTTGTGTGTTTTTAATTGTATGCAGGTGCAATAATTGTATGATGTTCTGTTGACCAACCCAGTTTGGCGCTTATGATATTGCAAAATACTAAATGAATGACGATCACAAAAAATAAACTAATCTATCAAAATTTTATAATTATAAAAAACTTTACCAAACATTCACGAAATCCAAACATGTATGTGCACATCAATATTGCGTGAGATTGAATCCAAAAAGAAATGTAATGATCCTCTTGTTGTTTACATAGGCCATTATCATCATTGAAATCCCAAGCACAAAACATTGGAGAAATTCAAAATCGCATATGCTCAGCAATTTGTTCGTGCCTGTATTGATCAAGTATCGGTCAAACAGTTTTATGAAAAGGTAGCGAAGGTAGCTGACATTGCTCTGGAATGCTACGAAGAAGGCTCAACTGAATTCTATGACGGTGAATCGCTCATCAGAATGACAATTCTCGATGGTTGCTTCGTCCTTCAATTCATTTGCATTTTAACAAATACAGAAACTAACAATTCAGATAATACAGAAATAGAACCAGAAGAAGGTGATTCAGACCTTTGCTATTAAACTTGGCAGCTTATGAAATTAGTCCACATGGCCCTTCTGATTTATGCATTACGTCAAACATTAGGCTTATGGATTCACTCATTGATCATGCCGAGGTTGTTAAATAGCTCCGGAAGAAGGAAATTCTTCTCGAATAATTTAGGTAGTGGTCAATAACTTTCGCAACTCTTTAACGTAATAGCTAATTCTCTGGTGCCCGATCCTTGAACATATGTAGATGCTAAGTAGCAGATTGAAAAGCACTGCATGAATAAAAGACGAGTATGGATTACTGAATGGATCCACAACCAATTTAGCTGCCTTGGGCTATCTTGGCTTTTCTGGGTGCCATTTTGCTATTGTACTGAGCCTAGTGCAGACATATTTGGCTGTTTTCCCATGTAAATCCTTGTAAGACAAGTTTTACTAAATCAACCATGCATAAGTTTCAAGCAGAATGTTCTAGTTGCAAGAATATTTTCTTTCCCGTATAGAGTCCCTATTTTATTTCCCTTCAAAATCTTTCACACAATTCATTCATTCATGGCTTATTCCGTGCAGGCTATATCACAATTCATTCATTCATGGCTCCACGGGTAAAGTTGTTCACGGAAGGTAAACTTCAATGCACCAACCCAAAGTAAATAAAGGTATAAACATTCTCTCTTGAGTTCTGATCTAGTTCATGGCCATGTAGATAAAGATCATGGCAAAACGCACTGTTACTTTGGTAAAGATGATCAACAATTTAGTACAGGATAAAGAATGAGAAACCACAATTTCCATTCCCTGCATGTCAACCCAAGGTGTATTTGCACATTGTTTTGACCTTTTAAGTAAATGCAATATGAGTTAGCTGCTTTTCATGGCATCTTTTTCAAGATTCCACTTTCTGAGTTGGGGATAACGTTGACTGAACTTACCATTGTACATTACTACAGAACATATGATCATGTCTTTCCATACGCTGCTACGCAAGTGTAATTTTTTGTGCCAGCTGACTCCACTGGGATCGTTTAGATAAGCAGTTAATTTTACTCTCTCTACCAGCTAAGTCTACTGGAATTTCTCTACTTGAAATGTTCATCTCATCTCTGTTATCTCTAGATAATCCTAAGCTTTCTTGTTTCCAAGCATAAAACAGATGCCGATTTTGTTGTTAATATCGCCAATCCATGCAGCAACGGGCCCTACTACTTGGACAGGGACTATCCAAACAAAGGGCCGATGTGGTGCCCCCTATTGGCTGGCTATTTGCACCGTCCAAGAAGAATTACTCATGCAGCAATATTCAGTCAACATCTATAATTTTTAACTTTGTCTTGTACTTCATTCTTCGACGTGCTGTCTTTATGTGGCCTGTGATACTTAGTTCTTGTTTGGTGAAGAATACAATATTCTACTAGACATTATAAAAGAAGAGAAAAGTAGTTATTGCATGGCAGACATCTTTATTTATTTGGATGTTAGAATCATCTTTGGTGGAGTTAGTGTTACTTATGAACTCCTAAGATCTGTTTGGAATGGCCTTCATAAGGAGAATAATGTGGCAGTGAATATGGCAATTTTTGTAGACTGTTTCAAAACTTTGTATGGGTACATTGAATTTTGATTCTTACTTTGTGATTAAATATCCAAAATTATAGATCCCTTCTAGGTAATTTACACTGAAGGCTCAAACTTGCATTTACTAGTGTTCTATCTCTAGAATGCTTTTGTAACTCAAGGCTTACCGTATTGTTATTGTACAAGAAATCTAGAAAATCCAGTTGCATCAAGAACCACTGCAGCCTGAATAGCGATACCATCATTGCAAATCAACGAAGATTTCGATTCCTCGTGGATTACTTTCACAAACTTGGCTTGATGAAATTTAACGCCGTTCGAAATGCCTTTTTGCATCATTTTCGATTTCAGTTGCTCCCTGATAACCCTTCCACAATGATTTTATTTTCTTTAATCAATTCTTTTTTCTATTTTTGTTCATTATTTGTATTTTCTATAATAGTATGTCGTTAATTAGTTTACATTAAAGAAATTTTTTTTGGGCAATGGTTTTTTAGCATCCTGACCTTAATTTTCTTTACTCATTTTCCCTTTTCCTTGCCTTGTGTGTTGCAGTTTTATTCTTGTTCCTTTGAATTTGGTGTTTGTTATTGCTTGGTTACCTGCACGTCATTTGTTTGAGGAAATGCTCAACAGAGTAACCAGTCAAATAGCTTGTTTGGGAGAAATTATTATTATTATTATTATTATTATTATTATTATTATTATTAATTAATTAATTAATTAATTAATTAATTTTTATTTTTATTTTTACTTTTATTTCTATTTTTTTGGAGAATACATGCTTGAGAAGTATGGAAAAGTTATGAATGAATACAATATGTAGTTGAAAATGATTTTTGGGAAAATTAATTAATTTTTTTTAAAAGGTCATTCGCGAAAAACCTCTAAATTTTGTTAAATCGCTGCTTATATAATATGTGATTCTTTGTTAATCTTATAATTCGTGTATACAAGCCAAGTTGACACAAACTTCTTGCACTAAAAAATATGGTATATTCTTGTTTTCCTTAAATAAAAAGCCCATTACTCAACTATATTGGTCGTTTGATTACCCGCAAGTGAACAAGATCGTGAACAAGTAATATAGTGATGTGTAGAGTGTTGAATCCACGAGAACTATGTGATTGATCAAGTTAAAGCTAACACTACCCTTAATCGAATAGCAAAATTGAATTGTAATTAAAAACTATTAAATCTATCAACTAATAGAAAGCAATGTAGAGAAAATTTATCAAATTCGAGAAACGTATTGCTAAGATGTCGAATCCCCCTTGTTATTCAATTTTTAATTCAACAACTTAAATTGACAATTTGAAATCATGCTTGTTGGTCAATGTTCCTAATTTGTTTAAAAGCCTCTCTCGATAGCAATTAAATTTAATTCTACGTGTGATTTTCCTATATTTCTATAAAAAAAAAAAAAAAAATACGAACATCCAGGAAAGCATTAAATGGCTAGAACATCATCTTTAATAACCATGTGAAGCATAGAGGTATATCTCTATCATTTATCGAACCTCACAATGTTTATTATTTTGTGCTAATGATCTTATTTTCTCTCTCGAGAGCAATAGAATCCACAAACAATTCAACTAGTGATCAATTACTTGAAAAGCAAACTAAACTATAATAAACATCCAAACAATTAAACATATTTAACGTCAATTAAATCATTCAAATTAAAAAATTTATAACAAGGATTCATCACATCCTCACAATATTAAAAAGTTAGTCTAGCATATTGTCGAAATTAAATACGCAAAAGTTATAAGACATCACCAAACCTTGACAGAACGTGGTTAACGTTGACAAATTGAAATCTGTCTTTTTTTTTTTTTTTTCAAAATCAGCCCTATTTTCTGCCTTAAAAATTTCAACAGGTTTCTGTGTTTTCTTTCCCCAAACAACTGCTCAATGTGTGTCTAATTCCACCAGGTTGGCTGCGTTTCTGGTGCTTATAAAATTCCAGCAGGCAGCTCATTTATTATTTCGTCAATCTGCTGCAATTATTGAACTGGAGAACCAACAAATCAGCCGCCCAAGGTGTCTTTATTGTATATAAATTCCAGCAGGCAGCTCGTTCTATTTCCAGTAGATTCTGTGTGTCTAAAATATTTTTTTGGTCCCTAATTCTGACACTTTTTTTTTTCTTTCTCTGCCTGCGTATCTTGACTGCTATGCTTCTTCTCCTCTACGTGTTCTGTCCTCCATTTCCACGCATGAGATGTATTCATGTATAATGTAGCAGCCTCCTCTTTTCTCCTGTGCGTGTCCCCTCCTTCGTCTTTCTTCGTGCATATGTGTTAAAATATAATATTGCAGCTCACTTTTATAAGTTTTTCCTCTCACTGCCGAACGTGTTTCTGTAGGCGTATG